GTATCCCTTACCTACTTTTCTGTCTGCCCTGTATCTCAACAGATGACCAGAGGTAGATATAATTTAATATTTAATACTATCCAGGCTTGGAAACAAAGTCTGCACAAGCCTATGACTTAAACACATAGTCCTTAATGGGGCTTAATGTAGCAGCTCACCAAGCCTCCTGTGCTGACTTTCATGTATAACCTCAGAATTGTGATCTTCTAAAACTCTGAAGAGTTGAGGAGAAGGCTAACTGAAATAGACTTATTGTTACATTCATTGAAAACATCATTTTGGCCAATGTATTTTACTAAAACTTTTTGTAATGCAAAATATGCCCGAACAAGCCAATGATGTTAATGAAAAGAGCGTGTGGTGTGTCCTGTTGATAAGAATGGTCCATATAGGCTTTTGGAAACATCTCTGTCCTGGTAAGGGGATTTAGACTTTTCCCTGACTCTCTGTGAACACACTTGGTGTGTGTCTGGGCTAGCACACCAATTAGTCTAGCAGCCCTCATCCTTGGAATTAAGGAGTTGCATACCCTCTTTTAAAACTTCCCTGTAAAAATGCTTTGCCTCCACAAGCCTCTTCATGCCCATTAGTCTGCTTCACAAATAATAATTCGTGATGATTTTGTGGTGACTTTCATCTGTGGTGCCCAGTGAACTAATGAGTATCAACTCTACTTCTCACAGTCCTGTGTGAGTCAGTCAAGACCACAAGGATGGGCATTCTCAACACTTTTCTAGCAACCAAGTTTAGTGACAGTAAGTGCTGTACTCCAGGGCCACTTAGAAAATCCTAAATCTATTTACCTCTCCCTCCCCATACTCACACTTCGTCATTTTATATAAGTCCAGTATCTCAAGATAGTTCATGTTTTATGCCTATGAATTTTGTACCTTTATTCAAGTGATGAAAGCTATTCTTCATCATGCAGAAGAACCTTCCAGGCTGCTTTCCACCCTGTTTTGTAGCTTCTCCATAGTGTCTGGCCATCATGTACCTGACAGCCCACGTTATGTGTTATATTATTCTAAAGTACTACCTCAAAGCTAGAAATTTGTCTTCCTTTGCTGTTTCTGTCATCACTAACTTGTAAATTTTCACTCTTCCTCTAGTCTTTTCCAGGTCCGTTTCCTCATTTCCACCCATTTTACTCCTGTACCTCCCCCTCTTTTCTCTTTCATTGTTATGCTCAGGCAGGGTGCTTTGTGTCTGCAAATTAGCTCTTTATTTTGCAACTTTCCATTCTTCTCTTTAGTGTAAAACAGGACATACCATTTTCAGTACATTCCCTGGGTCATTGTTACCTATTACATTGGTGCAACTTATACTTAATGAGATTTAAAACTCGTGGTCTTTACAGAAACTTCCATCTGGAATTAAATATGTAAATGTGCTGCTCAGTTGTCTTTTCAGAGATATATTTTCTACCATCTTTGTTTCCATGTCCTCTTTTTTATTTTCTTGTCTTTTCATTTTAGTTTTGTCTCTTACTTCATCTTATTCCCAAATGCCATTGACAGAAGAGCAACCTGTGTCCATAGCCAGGATTACAGGAGCAGATGACGCCACCCACCTTGTCCCTTAAGGTGTTCAGTGGTTACAGACCCCTTTGAACAAGCAGTAGAGCTCTTTCTTGAGTGTTGGAAACCCAGTTTGATACCTCTCATTTATAGCCACTACTTTGGGTTACCTTTTCCAGAACCACATTTTTCCAGAACCTGCAAAATATATATGATTATTAGAGGTCAAAGCATTTAAGATGTACATGCCAGAGGCCCTAATGAATGCTAGCATTCTGTTATGCAAGTTTTCTACTCTGTGCTATTACTCCCAGACACTTGAACCAAATTGTCTTTGTCCTTAGTTTCCTACTGAAGATCTTGAATTAGATTGTGTTCACTGGCTGCCAAAAGTAGTAAGTGGAAGACTTTCTCAGATTTCTTAGCCTACAAATTGCCACCATTGCTAAAATTACTACCAATCAGGTCATGGCCAATTATCAGACCTTGGATTCTCCCCATATAAAGCTTGTGATGACAGCTCTCCATTATAAAACAAAACAGGGAGAGATGTTGGGGAACCCTGCTGTTAAGGTCAACTCCTTTCTCAGTAGGGGCTTCCTGTTCTCTGCCTGACCTTGTTTGGAAGGCGTCTCCAAGCACAGGTGCCCGGCCTTATTTGGAACATGACCTTTGGCATAGTTACCTGCAAAAACTGCCCCCAGGTTTTTTCTGTATGATAATTAGGCATTGCACTATAACCAGATGATAGGGTCCTCCTGCCACATTCAAATAAAGGATACTATGAACACCTATCAGGTGAAGCTTTGGCTACTGTCTCCACCCTATATTTTTCCCTCGCCCCCCCACTGAATAAACAAGCTGTATCACTGAAAAAAAAAAATTTTTTTTTTCCACAAGAGAATGTTTATTCTCTTTAATTAAACAACTTGGGACATGGCGTTACTGGGAAGAGCGGGACTACATAATACTGTTTCTTCAGAAAGACAAGATTATTCACACAATCAGTTTGAAGGTGTTTCAATAGCAGATGTTCAGAACAGCAGTGAATTCTGTTAAATTTAATGGACTTGGAATTTTTAGTGTTTATTTTAGCCAGAAAGTATTCCTTGAACAATTACATTTGAGGACTTTTTTTAATTTATTACTTTTATTTTATGTGTATGACTTTATTGCCTGCATGTGTGTGTGCCGTGTCATGCAATGCCCAAGAAGGTCAGAAGAGGGCATCAGATCCCTTGGAACTGGAATTACAGATGGTTGTTAGCCACCGTGTGGGTGCTGGGAACCAAACCCCGGTCCTCTGCAAGAGCAGCCAGTGCTCCTTACCACTGAGCCCTTTCTCCAGCCCCAATTTTTTTTTAATTTTTTTATTTATTTATGAGTGTATTGCCTGCATATAAGTAGGTGCACCTGTGTCATGCAGTGCCCACAGAGGTCAGAAGAGAGCATCAGATCCCTTGAAGCTGGAGTTACAGATGGTTGTTAGCCACCATGTGGGTGCTAGGAATCGAACCTGGGTCCTCTGTAAGAGCAGTCAGTGCTCTTAACCACTGAGCCAACTCTCCAGCCCCTAGCCCCAAATTTATAGAAAGTTCCACAGACTTAAGAATGTTTTCAATCTGTATTTAATGTTTCTTTAATGCTATAAATAAAAATAAACCAAAAGGTATAGTGAAATTAGCTTGCATCCAGGATGGTCTTGGGAAATGCTCATGAAATTATTTTCCACTAGAGAAAAGAGAAATCATGTTTCTTTGTTTCATTCCTTTTTCTGTGTCAGACCCTTGGTCTCGGAGGAGGCCTGTTTTCTAGGGTTTCTTGATCCTTGGGCAAGGTTAATGGCCTCTGACTTTGCCCTGGGTACTGGGCAGAGTGCCTAATCATCAATCCCAGAAGTACTCTGTGCCAGGATATCATTTCTGGAGTACATTTGATTGACTTGGAAGATTTTTACCTTAACCTTGTCTGGGAAATACAAGTGCCTTGTTGTGGCACTTGAGGAAAGATCATTTTGAGCACTTTCCTTATGGTCACCCCCAGCAAAATGACAACACTCTCTCCTGCTTCTCAGTACAAATCCACCCTTCGCCATTAAAGGTCAAAAGTAAAGCTTGACTGTTCTTATGCTCTTGTAAGGAAAACTGAGGAAAGAGAAGTATTTTAAGTTTATTGTAAAGACACAGAATTCTGTTCTTAGATTATGGGAAAGGAGAATGCAGCTTCCAATCTGTTTACTGCCTTACCCATTGCAGAAGATACTGGGTGGCATTTGATGAGGAACATTAATAAAGATGCACTTTTAGAGCTAGGGATACAATTCAGTGGAGGCCACAAGTTCTAGCCCCAACAGAGAAAAAGAAAAAAAGATGCAATTTGTAATTTAAAAAATTACAAACTTGTGAACTTTGAGTTTTTATTAGTACTATTATATTTACCTACATTATCATCTCTTTAATAGATTGCTAAAAAGCTAGGTTTGTTTGGTGAACACTTATAATCCCAGTACTCTGGATGCTGAAGCAGGAGAGTTGCCAATTTTAAAGTTCTGGGTGCTTCTGTAGTAGACGTTCAGAACAGCAGTGGAATTTAAAACACTTAGAATTTTTAGTGTTTATTTTAGCCAGAAGGTGTCCTTTAAACAATTAAATTTGAGGATTTTTATTTTATTTATTTATTTTATGTGTATGCATGTATTGCCTGCATGTAGGTAAGTGCACCCGTGTTGTGCAGTGCCCGCGGAGGTCAGAAGAGGCTGTTGGATCCCCTTGGACTGGACTTATGGACAGTTGTTAGCTGCCATGTGGGTGCTGGGATTCGAACCCAGGTCTTCTGCAAGAATATCCAGTGTTCTTAACTGCTGAGCCATCTCTCCAGCCCCAAATTTGAGGATTTTAAAACAGAGTATCACAGACAAACTTAAGAGTAGTTCAAGGTCAGCTTGGGCTACATAGCTACGTAGTTAGAACTTGTCTCAAAAAAGTAAAGAATTGATTTAAGAACTAGAGCTAGGTAAAGTAATTTTATAGTCTGGCTCAAGTACATAGTATTATCCTGAATAATTATGTTTGTTTTATTTTCACTGGAAAAGGTTTCTGAATGATATCTGAAAATGCATGTTAGAATCTTAATCCCCACACTTCTGGCACCTGTGCAGTGTTAAATGAATTTTCTTAAATCCATTGTTGCTCAGAGTGGCTTGATCAGCATCCCTGTTCCTTTGATGGTGCATGGTCAAGAATGTAGCCTTTCAAAAAATGCTCCATCGTGAATGTTATTCATGATTCAACCATATTTTTGGCAATCTTAGCATCCTTATGTTCTTTTCACCATTTTAAATAATTGCATCCTATCTCCCGTAATTTCTAGTGTTGTTTCTTAAAAACTATTGAATGTCTTCACTTTGGGGGAAAAACAGAAGTATGTGTTGGTTTGCCTAAATCAATAAAACTTTTACAAAATTCATTTCTGAAAATTATTGGCTATCCCTGTAACAAGCCTTAGCACCTGGTAAGACTTGGTCAGTTAACATTTTTAAATTTCAGTTGCTTTTTTTTCACTACAGGCTCTTGAACTTGGCTCTGGAGACAATTGCTTTCATGCTTCCTCTTTCCACCTTATGTTCCATTTTAGAACTAATTAGGAAAAACTATAAGCCAGTCTTAATATAAAAATTACATCACTATGGCTGGAAAGATGGCTCAGTGGTTAAGAACACTGACTGTTCTTGCAGAAGACCTGTGTTCGAATCCCAGCACCCACATGGCAGCTAACAACTGTCTGTAACTCCAGTTCCAGGGGATCCGACAGTCTCTTCTGTCCTCCACGGGCATTGCACGACACAGGTGCACTTCCCTTACATGCAGGCATAACACTCATACACATAAAATAAAAAAATAATAAAATATTTTTTAAAGATTTTTTTTAATTACATCACTAATGGAGGGTTTTGCCAGAACCGTTGGTTTGTAGTCATCCAAGGCTCTCCATAATTACTCGACTATTCCTATGTCTTTAATCAGAACTGAAGTAGGCAAATAACAATATATTCCTGATTGTTCACATGGACACAACGTAGTCTCAGAAGATGTGAGGAGAGTTGAGTAAGATGGTTCTGGGCATCTTTAGGTAATAACATCTTCTCCCTACTTTTCTCTCTATCTCTGCTTTGCTCCTTCTCCTGAACCTGCTTCTGGCTTTCTTCACCTGTTCCCCTGGCACTCTTGTGTAAACAATCATCTGCACTCTAGTTATCCCCATTTGTCCTCGTTCAGCATCTTGCAGCCCCATCATCATGTCCTTCAAAGCTGCACACTCTAGAAATCCAGGGGATCGACCAAAACTCTTTGTGACACCACCTGAGGGTTCTGCACGAAGGAGGACCATCCATGGCACAGCGGTGAGTATGGTGAGTGTTGGGAGCAGCTTGGTGCCTGGGAGTCAGCTCTGTGTCCATGCAGAGTGGACTCTACCCCCAGGTGTATTGTAGGTCCAAGACTGGATGGCTACAACACAGCACACTACCCCCCCAGTGTAAATCTGGCTAGCTGGCTGGCTGGTCCTATCCCTTAACCTTCCTCTTTATTTAGGGATTTTGCTCTTCCTAAAGATTTGAATGTAAAACTGTTCTTCACTTAAGCAGAAATTCTGCACTATACAGATGAGTACAGAATACTTTCACTTTGTAAAGTGAGAAAACAAGGGCCTTTGCAGGGGGAAGTGGGCTTGGACTGCTGCCCTGACCTTTTATCGCAACCAGTTCCAGAGACTGACTGAACTCTGAAGTTGGCTTGCTCAAAACCATACAGATTTCCATCCTGCTTATTAGCTCATCCCTGTCAAAGCCCACATCTTAAAATATGGTGAAAAGAAATATTTTGGAAACACTGGTTATTTGGTAAATAAGCACTTCTTGAAGGGCTCTTGAACTATACCATAAACCCAGTTTTTCAAATAAGGAATATAATGCGTTCTTGTTATTCCTGGTAAGGCAGCTGGGCAGTGTTACTGTTGATCATTCTGTAAATGCAGTGAAACCATTTGTATGCCTTGGGAGTCTTTCTTCATCTTTGTTTAAACTGTGTCCTTATTTGGTATGGATGAAAGATGCAGATACTGTTCTATGACTCTGGACCCTATATTTGAGTCTTTAAGGACTCCCCAATTCCTCACATGCCATTACCTCTCTACAAGGATAATAGTATGGACCTTGTCATGAGACATTGGAACGTTTTTTTTCTTTTTTTTTAACTTACCAGAGCAATTCAAATGTTTAAAGCCGATGGAGCCTTAGAAAGGTTGTACCTAGAGGACAATTTGAAGGTTGTGAGAGCCTGATGGTTTTTACCTATAGGATTTTTTCTTTTGAGCCTCTTCAGTGTTTCATTTATAACTGAGACAGAATTACAGCCCTGTGCACCAAAATTGAACCTACCTTTGATTCTGTGAAGTTTTAATTCATTAGCCTTATGATGCTGTAGAGATCTTGGCTGAGGCAAAAAGTGACAGTGAAGCAGAACCGTTTGGCTTATTGAGCAGGGAAAAGCACTTACCAAAGGGACAGTTTCTTCTTAGCACTTCTAGAAAGGAAGGTGGAGGCTGACTGTGGCAAGCAGAACGAGAGGCTTGTCATCCTGTGAGCTTTTGTGGATCTGTCTTCTTAATGCCTTCTTCTATCTATGTGTGATCAGTTAGACTTTTTTCTCCTCCTTACCAGATGTTTAGGGACATACTTTACTGCCAGAAACTGACTCCTAGAACTGCACCAAGAAATTCAGTATTGATTGGCCACATTGGGCATTTCAAAAGTAGCTAATGATACACACTGTGTATTTAATTTTTTTTAAATGGTGTAGGGGCTAGGAAGATGGCTCAGCGGGTAGAGTTTGCCATGCAAGCATGTGGACCTGAGTTCAGATATTGATGTAAAAGCCAAGCACGGTGGCACGGCTGTGTAACCCCAGCCCTGGGGTATAGAGACAGGCGGATCCAGTGGCTTGCTTGCCAGCTAGTCTAGCTGCTGAACTCCCTCTTCAGTAAGAAACCCTGTCTCAAAAAGTAAGGTAAAGAAGCAATGCCAGCTTCTGACTTCAACACATGCCACATGGGCATGCATGCATACACACATACATACAAAAGTTTTTAGTTAAAAAATTTTAAAATAATCATTTTAAAGTCCAGTTTTAAGTATAATCATACTGTCATGCAGCCAATCCAGAACTTTTCAAATCTTATACAAATGAACCAACCACTATGCATATGCACTTCCCTCCCCTCTCTTCAGCCCCTGGTAACCACCATTCTGCTTTCTGTCGTGTGAGTTTGATTATCATAAATACAATCATAAAATTTGGAATTACTATACCTGGCTTATTTTACTGAGCATAATGTCCTCAAGGTTCATCCTTGTAACATGTCAGAATTTCCTTCCTTTTTAAAACTGAATAATACTCGCTGGGCGTGGTAGCACACGCCTTTAATCCCTGCACTTGGGAGGCAGAGGCAGGCGGATCTCTGTGAGTTCAAGGCCAGCCTGGTCTACATAGTGAGTTCTGGGACAGCTGGGGCTATAGGGAGACCCTGTCTCAAAAAGACCAAAAAAAACCAAAACAAAACAAAACAAAAAACCTGAATACTACTACATTGTATATGTACAACTCTTCGAGACCCTGCTTTGAATTCTTTGGGAGATACACACACATACACCTGAATACTACTACATTGTATATGACAACTCTTCGAGACCCTGCTTTGAATTCTTTGGGAGATACACACACATACACACTAGGAGTGGGGTTGCAGGACCTATTTTAGTTGGGGGTTTTTTTTGGCTTTTTTTTGTTTTTGTTTTTTTTTTCTTGTTTTTATCTTTTTGAGACAGGATCTCCCTGTAGCCATAGCTGGCCTGGATTCACTATGGAGACCATGCTGTCCTCAAACTCACAGAGGTCCACCTGCATCTGCGTCTGCCTCTGCCTCTCAAGTGCTGGGACTAAAGGCATGCACCACCATGCCCAGCCTCTATTTTAGTTTTTGAAGAAACACCACACTGTTTCCCGAAGTGCCTGAACCATTTTTCATTCCTACCGATCATACACAAGGGTTCCAGTCTGCACATCCTTGCCAACACTTACTATTTTCTGTTTTTATTTTATAATGGCCAATCTAATGAATGTGAGTGATATTTCATGGTTTGACTTGCATTTGTAATAATCAGCGTTGCACATCTTTTCAGTTGGTATAGCATGTTTGGAGAGATGTTTACAAAATCCTTAAGTCTGTGTATGTCTGTGTTGCTGATGATTTATCCCAGGGCCTTGTACATGTAAAGGAATTGCTTTTCCACTGAGCCATCACCAGCCCTAGCTCATTTTTTTAATCAAGTTCCTACTTGTTGAATTATAGGAAATACTTACTTTTTCTAGATCATGCCTCCTTATCAGATATGGTTTGCCATCATAGCCATCATAGGCTGCCTTTTTACTCTGTTGAATCTTTTGATCTGTGGACCTTTTTTTTTTTTTTTTTTTTTTTGTCTTTTTGAGACAGGGTCTCCTTGTAGCCCCAGCTGTCCTGGAACTCACTATGTAGACCAGGCCTGCCTCTGCCTCCCAAGTGCAGGGATTAAAGGTGTGCACTACCATACCCGGCACGATCTGTGGATATTTTTAAGTTTGTCCATTTTCACATTGTTGCCTTTGCTTTGGGTCTATAAATTAGTGCCAGATCCCAGAATATGAAACTTTTCTCCTCCTATGTTTTCTCATTGAAATTTTCTTACATATTCTGGATATCACCCCTTTTAGAGCTTTACAACTTATATTTGAGTCTTTAATCCATTTGAGTTCATGTTTGTATATTGTATAAGGGAAGGATCCAATTTCATTCTCTTTTATGTGGATATACTATTGGCTTAGTATCATTTGTTGAAGAGTGTTCTTCTATCATTGAGTGGTCCTGGAACTTCATCATATGTCCCTGGGTTTATTACTAGGTTCTCTATTCCATTCCATTGGTCTGTATGCCCAGGTCTGTATACCAATACCATACTATTTTAACTGTTGTAGCTCTGTAATCTATTTTAAAATCAGCAAATATGAGAGCTCCAGCTTAGTTCCTTTTTCAAATGTCCCTGTCCCATATATAGATTGTCAGCCAGTTGACATGAGCAGCTTGTATGTTTTCTCAGCATTGGAGAAAGGGTTCCAAAGAAAGATGATTGCATAGTTAAAGGATAGCAAGCCATTAACTTACATCAGGATGAAAATCAGGAGTACCTTTATATGTGTGGTGGCCAGATGGGTGGCTAGACAGCAGAGTAAGAGAAGAGCTGAGAAGAGGACAAATCTACCTGCTTGAGGGCTCTGCTTTCCCAGCCCCTGAGATTAAAGAGCTCTTTCTTCTAGAAGAGAAAGCAGTCACTCAATGTCAGTGTCACCTTGATAAAAAGAATGCTGTCAAGGACATAGGTTCATTCCCTGCATCCTGCCTCATGAAACCCATATGAGGAAGGTCATCCCCAAGTTCCTCACATGCAGAATGCCCTTTCTGACTCACATTCCCATTCAGAACTCTCCTTGATCTTTAGCCAAATCAGAAGAAAAACAGAGAAAAAAATGGGCAGCAACAAATGGCTTGGGTAAAGGCACTTGCTGTCAAGCCTGATGGCATGAGTTTGATCCCCAGAACCTACATGGTAGGAGAGAACTGACTCCCACAAGTTGTCTTCTGACCTCCACTCACATACCATGACACACACATATACACAGAGAGAGGGGGGAGGGAAAAGGAGGGGAGAGAAGGGGAGGGGGGAGGGAAAGGAAGGGGAGAAAAGAAAAATAAATGTTAAAAAGACCTTTTAAAAAAAGAACGAAAAGTAGCTGGGTGTGGTGGTGTGGCACACACCTTTAGCACTCTGAAAGCAGAAGCAGGCAGATCTCTATGAGATTGAGGCCAGCTTGGTCCACATAGTGAGTTCCAGGCTCGCTAGGGCTGTAGGGAGACCCTGTCTCAAGAATTTTTTTTTAATTTTTAAAAAATTTTTAAAAAGAACAAAAAGGGCTGGAGAGATGGCTCAGTGGCTAAGAGCACTGGCTGCTCTTCCAAAGAACCAAAGTTCAATTCCCAGCATCAACATGGCAGTTAATAACCATCTGCCACTCCAGTTCCAAGGGATCTTCTGACACCTGCTGGCATTGCATGCACATGGTGCACTTACATACATGCAAGCAAAACATATACATAAAAATAATAAATATTTTTTAAAAGAACAAAAAAAGTTTTCCATGGTTCTTTAAAACTTCCCTTTAGAAGAGTGGTGGGTCTTCTGTCCTGGGCACTAATCTCCCAGAGGCATAAGGGCTATTCCATATACCAGCCAGGAAAGACCCATATGGCAGCTGTGGCTTTTACTACCTGAAGCCTGCAATTGTTTTTTGAGGCCCCACTTGTATCCTTGCACTCTGCTTTCCCAGAGGTGCCTCCAGTGCCACCCCATAACACATCACAGAGAGGGATCTGTTTTCCCTCTGTTTCCTCTATTTCTTGCCTTTTTTCCCCTCTTCCTCCTCTCCCCACACCTCTCTTTCTAATTAGCTTTAGAATCTCTAATGCCTCTCTAGGCTTCTTTATGTCCCTTCCCCTTCCTTCCGCCCTTTCCTTTTCCTCCCATGTCCCCATTGACTTTAGAATCTCAACTTCTCTAGGCGTCTCTTTGCATATCTGGCCAAATCTCTGGCTGAATTCCTAGTGAGCCCTTTGGGGAGGGCAGATGTTAGAGCTTGCCCTTAGATTCTAGTTTCATCCCTAGGAACGAAGGGTGAAGATACCCAGAGTTCCTCACCTTGAACCTGATGATCCTTGGTGAGAAAGAGGACATTACGTGAAGAAGAATTTGTCTATAATATCCACATAAAGGGGGAAAAGTGAAATAAAAAGCATGGGTTGTTGTTTTGGTTTTTTATTGTTTTTTGGGGGGGGTTATTGTTTTTTTGGTTTTGGGGTTTTTTTGTTTTTGTTTTTTTGAGACTGAGTCTCCCTAGAGCTCCAGCTGACCTGGAGCTTGCTATGGAGACCAGGGTGGCCTCAATCTTACAGATATCTGCCTGCCTCTGCCTCCCGAGTGCTGGGATCTAAGATGTGCACCACCATGGAAGTTTTTTTAAAATGACTAAGCAATGCATATTCCAGGGCGAAAACAAAAAATGCTAAAGAATAAAACATACTTTTTAAAGGAAAAAGTATGCTTAATTAAAACATTTTTAAAAATGGGGCTGGTAGTGTTGCTCAGTGGTAGAGTACTCGCCCAGCATGTATGAAGCCTGAAGTTCAATCCCCTGCATGGCAGAAAGAAAAGGGAAAAGTTGAAAAACAAAAGGAAATTACTTTTATTTTACCATTTGTGATAGACAAGCCAGAGAAAGAGAGAGAGAGAGAGGGAGAGCAATTTCACTCCAGATAATTTTACAAAGTATAGCTGCTTTTTAAGTCTTTTTTAAACAAACATAATTCAAATCACCCATCTAGATCTACCTTCTGGGTATCATCTATATTCAGTTATACTGGTCAGTTGTAAACTAACAAGGGCCTTTTTTGAGGTGGAATGGATATATATAACAGTTTAAATTTTGTCTTTAAGAAACTATTAGATGATTGATAGATCTGTTGGATATTGTGACTATGGTTTTGTCAGTCATAGAAAAATCTCATTATTGAGTTTCTCTAAACTCAGAGTCATAAAAGAGAGAGAGAGCGAGAACATGGCCACTTCTATCTTACCTCTGGCATCCGAAGGACTCTATCTCCATCTAATCCCAAAGCGAGATCACCAGCTCCCGCCCGCCTTTGGTAAGTGGAATAGAGGAGGCTGGTTGGAATGGTCCATATTGGAGAATTACCTTCTGTCCTCAAAGTATACTATTCTCACACTGTTTGCCTTTAACTTAAGGAATAACAAGCTTCCTTAAAGCAAAAGGAAAAAGGAACTTGGAAGTGGGTCTCTTTAGAGGCCCCCTCTAAATCATACATCATAGTGAAATGTCTGCTTGGTATTTCCAGCAGTGGGTGTTCTGGGTTCTGGTAGGCTTATTCTGACGTGTCCTCTGTCCATGTCGTTTGCTGCCCAGGCTCCCATCCAAGTCCATGCCTCATTTGCCTGGCACACCCCGACCAGCATCCTCCTTGCCTCCTGGCTCAGTCAAAGCTGCTTCTTCTCAGGCCCATCCCTCATCCCCCGGCAACATTCGCCCTATCAAGAGAGAAGTCAGAGTAGAACCCGAGAAAAAAGACCCTGAGAAGAAAGTTGCCAATGAACCCTTGCTAAAGGGCAGGACACCTTTAGTGAAGGTAGAAGAAGTCCCAGTTGAAGAGGGGACACCTGTGGAGCCAGCTGAACCTGGTGAGAATGAACTGGCTGGTGCTAGGATGTGCATTCTGAGTTTGCCCCTGTCTTCATCCATTGTTTGATTTTGCTTTTATTTAGCTTTTCTTTCCTTCCTGGATATTTGCAATTCATTCTCTCTCTCTCTCTCTCTCTCCCTCCCTCCCTCCCTCTCTCTCTCCCTCTCCCTCTCTCCCCCCCTTGCTCCCTCCCCCCCTCCCCCCTCTCTCCTCTCTCTCCCCCCCTCTTCTCTCTTCTCTCTTCTCTCTCTCTCTGGTGGGAAAGGGAACAGGATAGCCCAGATTGGCCATGATCTCATTATGTAGCCAAGGATGACGTTGAACTTCTGACTCTCTAGTACTAGGATTACAATTACAGGTTTGGGGCACTATGCCTGGTTTCATTAGGTGCTAGGGATGGAACTCAGGGCTTCATGCTGCTGGGCAAGCATTTGACCTACAGAGCTGCTTCCTCAGCCTAATCTCTGCTTTTTGAAGGAATGATTTTCAAAGACTTTCTGGAAAAAATTTTAAACCATCACCTCTAGGATTTTTACAGAGTCCTGGCCTTGCCTCAGGTCCACTGGATCAGAATACAGGATAGAGGATCTAACCACTCGTAGACTAGATTTGAGGGCCATTGGTTTAGTGTAGGTGTTTGACAGAGGTCAGAAGACCTAATGTCTTCTGTGAGATAATTCAATATTGTTTGGAAATTTAGTCATCTGGAGCTAGGAATTCAATATTGTTGAAAATTATTTCCTGCCTGAGACAATTTGAAATTTGAAGGTAAGAGCCAAGAAAAAATTAAAATGTTAGGGTAGAAGAAGAGCAGAAGCTCCATGGACTAGGCCTGATGTTGCATGCTAGTAATCCTGGGTATCAGGGAGGCTGAGGCAAGAGGATCACAAGTTCAAGGCCTATTGGAGATACAGAGTAAATTCAAGTCCAAGCTGGTTACTTAATGAGACTCAAAATACACAAAGAGCAGGGCATAGTAGCATGCCTTTAATCTCAGGACTCAGGATACTGAGGCAGGCAGATCTCTGTAAAATCAAGGCCAGCAATAGAGTGCTTACCTGGCATACATGAGGCTGTAAATTCAATCCCAAGGAAAGAAGGGAAGAAACAAGGAAGGAAGAGAAGGAGGGAGGGAGGGAGGGAGGGAGGGAGGAAGGAAGGGAAAAGAAAGCCTTCTAAGAAACACAGAGGAAGGAAGGAAGGAAGGAAGGAAGGAAGGAAGGAAGGAAGGAAGGAAGGAAGGAAGACTGTATGGAAAGTAGGAATATAAACCTGGAAAGGGGGTTGTGAATGGAGGTTCAGGTGCCAGAGCTGGATGCCCACAGATACCTCATGGTGGTGTACACTCAACAATGAGAACACCTCCTGTACCATCCCAGATCATCTTCCTAAATCTGAACAATGTTAAAGAACTTCTGTCCCCACCTTGCATCTCAGCATCAGGACTTCCAGTGGAGGCCAGATTTGTAGTAGCTTTCATGCCTGTCCCTAACAAGGCTGTTGCTTCCTCATGCCTTAGACCTTGAGATAGCACTGGGTTGAGTTTCATCAAAAGAGGACTCTTAAAGTATAATGGTACACAATTGTGATCCTAGTACCCAGGAGGCTGAAACAGAAAGATCATGAATCGGATGCCAGTCTGGGCTACATAATGAGTTCCAGACTAGCCTGGGCTACACAGAAACCTTGTCTCAAAAAAGATAAACACAATTAATTTGTTAAAATAAATAAAAAGAGCCTGATCACTGGGTATCACCTACCCAGCCTGAGTGTAGACACGTTGCTGGGTGCTGAGGGTGCTCATAAAAAGGCTTTCATGCTGTAGAAAACAGCCACCAAAGCATAGGAATTTGCTTAATGGTTTTTAAAAAGCAAATGGCAGCTCTCATCTTCATTTTGCACAAAGTGTAGCTTCTCACTCATCTAACACAAGGTTCTCTACTCAGCACACATTGGTAGATGTTAACTTGTTTAGCTACTGTAAAAATAAGACTTGGTGACAGAGTGTGAGCTTTGTTGGATGTCTCACTTACACAGGCAGTTTTTTGTTATCTGTTGCTTGGTTACAGACAGACAGAATACAATGAAGCCGTGAGAACACACAGTGATACATGTTCCCTTTTCTTTAAGAATGATGAATTCTAGGCCTGGGGTGTGGGGATACCAGTTTTTGTTCTGTTCTTTGGGTTTTATTTCCACTTGCTTTTCTCTTTGTACCTATTTGTACAGCTGCTCCAGCCTCGGCCCCTGCTCCAACTCCAGTCCCTGCTCCAGTCCTGGCCCCAGTCCCTGTCCCAGCACCACCATCCACTGTGACTGCCAGTGCTATTCCTAAGACCTCTGCAGGCACCACTGATCCAGAAGAGGCCACAAGGCTGTTGGCGGAGAAGAGGCGGCTAGCTCGTGAGCAAAGAGAGAAGGAGGAAAGGGAGAGAAGGGAGAAAGAAGAGCTGGAAAGGTAAAAGGTGCTAGGGACTCAACCACAGAAACTATTGGATAAGTCTTACTTTGGACAGGGAGTCAGTGGCAACAGAGATAAAGGTGAATGTTTCAGAATTATGCTTAACCTGGTGTTCCATGACCACAAAACACTTTTGTTGTTGTTTTGGGTTTTTTTTTTTCTTTGTTTTCTAAAGCAGGTTTTCATGTACCCCAGGCTGTCCTCAAACTTGCTATGTAGCCAAGGATGGCCTTAACCTTCTCTTCCTCCTGCATCCACCTCCAGAGTGCTGAGATTAAAAACATGTCCCACCACACCTGGTGTATGTGGTGCTGGGGATCAAACCCAGGGTTTCCTGCATGCTAGGCAAGCACTCTTTATCAAATGACCTATGTTCCCCCCAATTTTTGGGGGGGTCTTTTTTTAATATTTTATTTATTATTTTTATGTGTACATGTATATTGCCTGCATGTAAGTAAGTGCACCTGTGTCATGCAATGCCCACGGAGGACAGAAGAGGCTGTTGGGTCCCCTGGAACTGGAGTTACAGATAGTCATTAGCCGCCATGTGGGTGCTGGGATTCAAACCCGAGTCTTCTGCAAGAACAATTAGTGTTCTTAACTGTTGAACCAACTCTTCAGCCCCTTTTTTGGTCTTTTTCAGGACAGGGTCTCCCTGTAGCACCAATTGGCCTGGAACTTGCTATGTAGACCAGGCCAGAACTTTTTTTTAAATCACATTTTCTTACAAATAGCAATACATCATTTTAAAGCCTTTAGAAGAGTGTCTTAATATAATCTTCCCAAATTCAGTAATTATGTACATTTGGAGTAGCCTATTCTGTTCTCTGAACAGTTGGATGATGTGTATGTACATGTACACATACAAACAGGTATACATATGCTTCATACCTATAACACAATAGAGGTGCAGCTGTCCAGTCTGTTTTTGCATCTCTAGTCTTCAGGTTTCCTCGGTATCGTTGAGATGATCACTGTAAAGCTGCAAGTTATAGGTTCATGTGTTTTTTTCAGATAAAATTCTTCTCAGCTTGGTGAGATGTTTCAGTGCTCCAAGATTACCTTCCAGACAAACATTATGCCATGGATGGTGTTCCAGTTTCATTCTGTAGCTATAGTAAAACAACTCTGACCAAAAGCAGCTTAGGGAAGCAAAAGGTTTGTTTGGCTTACACTCCAGTCCATCACTGAGAGAAGTCAGGTCAGGAGTCCCCAGGAACTTGAAGCAGAAACCATGGAGGAATGTTGCTTGCTGACTGCCTCACAGCTCAGGCTTAGCCAGTTTTCTTAGCAACCACCTGCCCAGAGAATGGTGCCACCCACAGAGAGCTGGGTCCTCCTACATAATTAACAGTGAAGACAATCCCCCACGGACGTGCTGCTAGACCAGGCTGCTGTATATGTATGTGTATATGTATATGTATATGTATATGTATATGTATACGTAGCTAGTGGAGATTTTTCTCCAGGTCTTTGAACAACTTGCCCTTCTCATACCTGTGAACTTGGGCCGCTCTTCAATTAATTATCCTCTTGTGTCTTTATTTTTGCCTTTTCCTAGACAAAAGATAGAGGAACTGGCTCGAAGGGTGGCTGAAGAGCGAAGTCGCCGAGAAGAAGAATCCCGTCGCCTCGAAGCAGAGCAAGCGCGGGAGCAGGAGGAGCTGGAGCGCCATCAGGCTGAGGAGGAGCGGGAGCGTCGGGAGAGGGAGGAGGTGGAGCGTGTGCAGAAGCAGGTGTGTGCCCTGCTCCAGACAGGGGCTGCGCGCACGTGGGCAGGGTGGAGGCTGGTGCTCCAGAGGGCCACTCCCGGAAGATCACAGTGCCGAGCAGTGCGAGGTGGTGCTGGGCCCTGCCCCAGAAGGGAGCTGCTCTGAGGAAGGGTGTGCTCTCTGGCTTCCGTGAGGCCTCCGCTGTCTGTTGTCTTGCCTCGGTCTGCCTGTGTGCAAGCTGGGCTACAGACGAGCCAAGCTAAGGATAAGAGGCAGATACAACTTGTTTTCAGAAAGAAGAAGAAACCCGTGTCCGGGAGGAGGCAGAGAGGGTCCGACAGGAACGGGAGAAGCATTTCCAGAGGGAAGAACAGGAGCGTCTGGAGAGGAAGAAGGTACGGCCTCTGCAGAAGCCTGGTCCAGCTAGGGTTCTGATTCAGTCCTGCCTCTGAAGTTGCCTGAAGACCGAGAGACCAGGCTTTTGGCCAGGAACCTTTGCCTGAGAAACAGCTTTCAGTTTAATACCCTCCCAAGAAACTGCTCCCCAAGTTTCACCCTTCCCCAAGCAGTTACTTCTGCTGCAAGGAACTTAAATGGTTCCAACCTTTTTTTTTTTTTAGAAAATCCTAACAAGTTTATTGGGCTTGGGCTTGCTAACAGAGCATAGGGTGGGAGTTTACAGAAGAGTGGGTGCCCCCCTCCCCAGTTCCAACCTTTTTTAATAACTCCGATTAGGACAAAGAACTATGAATTCTAATTTCTCTGTGTGCTTGAACATCTCTATGTGCTTTCTTCCTGGATCTCACCCGCTTATTTATTCTTTCTTGCAGAGACTTGAAGAGATTATGAAAAGAACCAGGAGGACAGAATCTACAGATAAGGTATTGATATGGCCATAGTCTAGCTGCTCACTGTGCTTGGTGATACTGTCTAACATAACCCAGGCTGGCCTCAAACTCATTATCTGTTCAAAGATGAAGTTCTTCCTTCATCCTCGAAAGTGCTGGGATTACAGGTGTGTCCCACCACACCCAACTATTTTCTGACTTGTCTTTTTTGTTCTGTTTTGTTTTTTGAGACAGGGTCTTATGTTCCCAGGCTGGCCTCCAACTCCCTGAGGATGACCTTGAATATCCTGATCCTTCTGCCTCCACCTCCCGAGTGCTGGGATTGCTGGCCTGTGCCACACTGGCTCTAACTGTGCTTGGCAAGGCTTCTTTTTCCTTTATGATTATATTACCCATCCTCTTGGGGATCAAGCCCAGGTCTTTACAAGTGCCCAGTAAGCACTCTACTACTAATAACTTGAATTTTGGATTTTTAAGTTTGTTTTTCTTCTTCCTTTTGGTAGAAAACCATTGATCAAAGAAATGGTGACGTAGACAAGGGAGTTCTCACTGGAGAAACAGGTATTTTTATCAAATGAATTCAAGTCCGTTGAAATGTTACCCTAGAAATCGGAATATTTATGAGTGAATGGGAGGGCAGGCTCCTTTGGGTTCTCTTTTGTTTATCTGGGGGTTTTTTTGTTTTGTTTGAGATAGGATCTAACTCTTATGCAGGCTGACCTCAGTATGTACCAATGGATAACCTTGAACTCCTGATCCTCCTACCTAAGACTCCCAAGTGCTAGAATTATAGGCCTACATTACCATACCCATCTTAAATTTATACATTTTCATGATTTGTATTCATGACAGTTCTCAGACATGAATTTAAATGGTATTTCTTTTAATCCTCCCTTCAGAAGAGGTATAATATTTAAAATTTGTTGAAGCTTCATTGAAAATTGTTTACATACTAGTCTTTAGACTGAGATTATTGTTTCTTGGAGATTTTAAACGAAATGTGTCTTAAATAAAAGTGAAACTAACCTTACTTTTAGTACTCCTATCTAGTTAATATTGGTTTCATTTCGACAGAAGCTCTTCTAGTTTCTGTGCATCATGATTTTTGAATAATGGAGTTTTTACACCCTTTTATAGATGCTCTAAGTATATTTGTCTGGAGAACCCCCATAGTAGCATATTAATCCAGTGCAGTTTTGTTTTGTTTGGCTGAGAATTGAGCCTAGGGCTTCATGCATGCTAGTCAAGTGCTCTACCACTGAACTGTGTCCTCACCCTACCCTCACTGCATAACATCATGTTTCCAGGAATGTTATTGATTTAGGCTATCGAGGTTTATAAAACTTTAGGTAGCCCTGTTCTAAATTTGAGTCAGGTGTCAATAAATGTTGCCTTAAGATGGGCTCCAGTATTGAGTCCTAATGAGGTGGCAAAGTTAGGGACTGTGGGCCTCCATTTGTGAAGTCCCCATCTTTCTAAGTATGATGGGACCTCAAGTGAGTTTATGAAAATGTGCTTTGTCACTTGAGGTATTCCACAGTGATGTGCTCCAATTCCCCGGTGACTGTTCTATGTCAGCTCATCAAGTCAGCTTACCACTACCTTCATCATTTGATCTGATTTGATTTGATTTGATTTGATTTTAATAGATAGTTTCTGTCCAGAGCCAACATAATACAAACAAAAATAGTAGTAACCTGTATTTCAGCCTTACAGTGTGCTGAGGCAGTATGTACTTTACACATATTAATGCATTTAGTTCTCACATGTAGCCTGTTAGGTTAAGTACCATTATCCAGGAATAAGGCACAGAGATTGACTTGTTCAAAATCACACAGCTAGTAAGTTATAGAGTCATGTCATAAATCCAAGTATTGGAACTAGAGAGATGGCTCAGCAGTTAAGAGCACTGGCTGCTCTTGCAGAAGACCCAGGTTCAAATCCCAGCACCCACATGGAGGCTAACAACAGTGTATAACTCAAGTTCCAGGGGCTATGACACCCCCTTCTAGCCTCTGTGAGCACTGCATGACACAGGTGCACTCACATACATGCATGCACATAAAATAAACACATTTTAAAAAATAAAAATAAATCCAAATATTCTGATTCCTAGGGGTTCAATTTGATGGTAGAATATTAGTAACTTCTCCTTTGCTATGTACAGAGGTATCTGCACTCCCATGTATGAACTCTCCAGGAAATGGAGACTCAGCAGCCAGCCTACATGTGGTCACTTTACAACAATCAAAAGTGACCACAGAGAGGTGAGTTAAACAAGGCGGGGGTGGGGGCTGCCTTCTTCATCGCCATACATTAGAGCAAAACATTACTTTCACTCCTGATAGAATGCTAAAGCTTAACAGTCAGTCTGATTTTTAATTTGCGCTCCTTAATTTTTTGTAGAGCTTGTAACTCTATAAGAAAGGGCATAGCTTTTCGTAAAAATTTATTTATATTCTATGTGTATGAGTGTATTGCCTACATGTGTGTAAGTGCACCTGCATTGTGCAGTGCCCATGGAGGACAGAAGAGGGTGTCAGATTCCCTGGAACTGGAGTTATGGGCAGCGTTAGTTGCCATGTGGGTGCTCTTAACCACTGAGACATCTCTCCAGCCTGGGTATAGCTTTTTTTTTCTTGACTCTTATTGGTAAAGTTTGAGTGACTGTTAAAGAAAATTACAGCTAGCCCTGGTGCTGCAGGCTTGTAATCCCTGCTACTCAGAAGAAGGCTGAAGCAGGAGGATCAAAAATTTAAGGCCAGTCTGGGTTACATAGAAAGTTCAAAGCAGCCTGGTCAACTGAGTACAGAGATGGAAAGGGAGAGAGGGAGGAAGAGAAAAAGGAAAGTGGTGGGAGAGTCACATATTTGTTCTACAATAAAAGTAGTTTGCACACTAGTATTTTTATGATAAATTATTACTAGCAGAGCTCCTTATTGAAGAAATAAACTGTTGCTAACAGCAATTAAGAGAAGAATTGGAACACTAGGTATGGTAACCCCAGCACTCCAGAAGGAACCTGAGGCAAGAGGGTTTTGAGTTCACTGATCAGGGCTACATAGCAAGACCCTCTTTAAAACAAACAAATAAGGGGCTGGAGAGATGGCTCAGGGGTTAAAAGCACTGACTGCTCTTGCAGAGGATCCTGGGTTTGATTCCCAGCACCTATATGGCAGCTAACAACCATCCATAACTCCAGTTCCAGGGGATCTGACACCCTCTTCTGACTTCCACAGGCATTACAAGATACCGGTACACTCACATACATGCAGGCAATACACTCACACACATAAAAATAAAAATAAAAACCTTTATTTAAAAAGGAACAAAGTGGCATACCTCAGGGCTGACAGAGGGGGAGGCTCTGTTGCTAGCTGCCACTTGGGTGCTGGGAATCAAACCCAGGTCCTCTACAAGAGCAGTCAGTGCTCTTAACCGCTAAGCCATCTCTCCAGCCCCTAAATAAAATACTTTTAAAAAACAGTGGTTAAGAACACTGGCCGTTACTCTTGCAGAGGACTGGGTTCAGCTCCCACATGGTAGCTAGCAACCATCAGTAACTCCAGTTCCAGTACCGATGCCCTTTTCTGGCCTCCGTGAGTACTGCACAGTACAGGTGCACTCACACATGCAAGCAAAGCACTCATGCACACAAAATAAAAATAAATAAAAACTGTAAAAATTTTTTAAAAACAGGCCAGTGAGATGGCTTAGTGGATCAAGTATTTGCCATGAAGCCTGAGGACCTGGGCTCGATCCCTGAGACCCACATGGTAAAGGAGAGGCTGACAGCTAGAAGTTGTCCTCCGATCTCCACACATTCTGTTGCATGAGAGTGCCCCTGCCCCTACAAAATGAAGAAGTAAATGTAATTTTAAAAAAATTTTTAAACAAAACATTTAAACAGGTGTGGACTGCTGCTAGTTTGGGACCAGCTTGGGCTGCAGAGTTCAGTCTCAGAAATGAGAAACACACATAAACATGTTCATGTACTCAGGAAATTGAAGCAGGAATATTATCAGAAGTTAAAGTTCATCATTGGCTACATAGCACTGAATCAAGCCTGGCCTACAGAGTGAGACCCTGCCTCAAAATATTAGCAAGATGCTGAGCGTGGTAGTGCGCACCTTTAATCCCAGCACTCAGGAGGCAGAGGCAGGGAGATCTCCATGAGTTCACAGCCAGCCTGGTCTCCATAGCAAATCCAGGCCAACCCTGACTACACGGAGACCCTGTCTCAAAAAGACCCCAAAAAAAACAAAAAAAAAATCAGCAAGAGACAGAGAAATTAACTTACATTCTCACTAGCAGTCTATAAGGACTCCTCCCTGCTCCCCATCCTTGCCAGGATTTTTGTTCAAGCCCTAGAGCTCTCACCCATCTTCTTTTAGCATAACAGGTTCCCTATGCATATAGAATTTGGGTGGAATCAGGGCCCTTGCCTGGTTGGCCTGGAACTTGATATTGTAAACCTGGCTAGCCTTAACTTTACAAAGATCCTCCTACCTCTGCCTCCTGAGTACTAAAATTATAGATGTCCACCACCATCTCCAAAAGCATATAGAATTAAAGAGGGTGAGAGTGACAAGATGGTTCAACAGGTAAAGGTACCTGTTGCCAAGCCTAAGGACCTAAGTTCAATCCCCAGGGCCCACATGATAGAAGGAGAGAACTGACTCCCTCAAGTTGTCCTCTGACCTGTACTTGTACACTGTGGCATGTGTGCCCCCATATGTGCACACACACAAACACATAGATAAATAAGTATGCATAATTTTGAGTTGTTTTTTTTTTTTAAAAAAAAAAAGAATTGACGAGGGTATAAATTGTCAGAATTCTAGTCAGCTTTTAAATGTGCAATGTGGAATGTCTAGTTATACATACAGTTTTGGGCTGGAAAGTGGCTCATGGTTAATAACACATGCTGTTCTTCCAGAGAATCACAGATTCGATTCCCAGCACCCACATGGTGGCTAACAACAATCTATAACTACAGTTCCAGGGGATCCAGTGCCCTCTTCTGGCCTCCAGGCTTTGCACAACATGGGTGCACTTACATACATGCAGGAAATACACTCATACACTTAAAAATAAAATATTTTTAAAATATATTTTTAAAATATATTGTTATAAACTATAAAATGTGTGCAATTTTTCATATGAAATTATATTTTAAATAAATATCTATGGAATGCATATGAATATGTGACTCGAGTAGATCAGTTTTTACCTCAGATCTATGTTTGTGTTTTGAGAGAGAGTTTTTATGGAGGGATGCTCCCATAGGACTCGAGAGAATATTTATTCATGGATAGGAAACTTGCTGTGGAGTAAGGAACCAAAGATACAGGCCAGTATCTGAGTATAAAAGTCAGTATCAGAATGAGATCAGAGGTGTTTTGTTCTGTTTTGTTTTGTTTTCTGAGACAGTCTTTCTCTGAGGCCTAGGCTCACCTGGAACTTGTGCTTGTCCTGCCTTCGCCTCCTAAGTGCTGGAATTACAGATGTAAGCCATCACATGTGGCTCGGAGGAAATCATATTTTAAGTTTCTCGGAGCATTCTGATTGTTCTTACACACCCAGCTAAAAGCTAAAAGGCTCTGATGCCTATGCAGTCTTCTATCCTGCTTACCCAACAACCCAGAGGGCATTTTCTGCTCACTTGTAGAAAGCCCTCAGGGACTTTCTTCTTAACAAAATATTTCTTCCTTTTGAAATGAAGACTTTTTAGTGATGTTCAAGTTTGATCCAGTCTTTTCCTCCAAATCTTGTGAATTCGTTCTTGCTCTTAATTTTACTTAAAGAAGTAACATTGCCAGGAGTAGTGGTGCATGCCTTTAATCACAAAACTCTGGAGGCAGAGGCAGGCAGATCTTTGTGAGTTCAAGGCCAGCCTGGTCTACGTAGTAAGTTCCAGGCCAGCTGGGGCTACAGGGAGACCTTGTATCAAAGGAGAAGTAACATTTCCAAATTCCTCTCAAAGAGGAAGACAATATATCACTAATTTGAAAATTCCTTGTTAGGACATTATTAATGCCAAGCTGCAATGAAGTCCTGGTTCTGATCAGCTACATGGGCTGTCCAATTTCCCCATACTCCTGAATTTCCTTTGAGTGAAATCAACCATCATCCACCCAGCTTTAACCTCTAAAGTTTATCTAAAGTACAGGAATACAAAAGCTGTTGCTCTTATCCAAGAGGGCTCAGAGCTATAATATAAACACACAGATTTCAATTTCAGTTAGTTTCTGCTGGTTGCACTGTCCCCTGAACCTGTAATGGCTGGTCATCTAAAGCATCTGACACAACTATTCATTTTAATTTCTAACAGGAAAGAATGGGTAGGCCCGTGAGGAGAAAGGGAAGCCTGCTAGCCTCAAGCATTAGGTTGACCTTTGCTGCTTTACAGGGTCACAAGTGTGAAGATCACCAGAGGAGAAAGATTTGGAGATACAGTCATGTCCCTTATCTTCTACCAAAACTTCTTAAACTCTCTTTGGATTGAGAACCAAAACTAGGTCTCTGGTTATAGAAATTTTGGCCACTGGTGTTGAGAAAGTGCCTAAGGATGGATGCAGCAACCCAGATAGTCAGAAAGGCTAGTGTTGCACACATATGTGTGACTGCACGCTCATGCAGCTGGGATGATGCCAAGCTTCCTCTCCCTCCTGAGTTAAACAATAGAATAACACCATCACATTCTTGAGTATGCTATTTCTATTGGTTTTTGTTTGTTTGTTTTTCTTTTTCTCTTTTTGAGACAAGGTCTCTCTGTAGCCCCAGCTGTCCTAGAACTCACTATGTAGACCAGACTGGCCTTGAACTTACAAAGATCTTCCTGCCTCTGCCTCCCAAGTGCTGGGATTAAAGGCATGTGCCACCACACCTGGCAAATATTTTATTTTTATTCAATGTGTATGGGTGTATTGTTTGCATGTAGGTAGGTGCACCCATGTCGTGCAATGCCCATGGAAGTCAGAAGAGGGTGTCAGATCTCCTGGAACTGGAGTTACATATGGTTGTTAGCTGCCATGTGGGTGCTGGCAATCAAACCCAGGTCCTCTGCAAGAGCAGTCAGTGCTCTTAACTGCTGAACCATCTCTCCAGCCCCTTCCATGCTCTTTTATAAATAATATTTTCAGACCCTGTAGTGCCTTGTGAAACACTTAGAACGTACATCTTCCCTTTAAAGAGAGATTAATAAACTGGGCGTGGTGGCACAGACCTTTAATCCCAGCACTCGGGAGGCAGGGGCAGGCAGATCTCTGTGAGTCAAGGCCAGGCTGGTCTACATAATGAGCATAATGAGTTCCAGGTCAGCTGGGGCTACAGGGAGACCCTGTCTCAAAA